CCTTAGCTTTAAATACGAGAATGCGGCAAGTTTAAAAGCGGAGAAGAATGAAGAAGTTGTCAGCTGCATGCGATGGCCGGACTAATGAAATAATAGCTATTCAGTAAAAGCCTGAACACGTTTTTTGTTTTTTTTTTTAGTTGTATGCAGTCGAGATTGCTTGGCAATTGGTGTGGAAAGTTTGCCAACTTATCCAGATGAGAAGGGAACAAGAAAGCATCAACCAATATATAATTTACATCGTAAAAGCGAGGTAATTCAACTTTTTTCAGTTTTTTTTTTTGACCCCTGTGTTTCTAATAGCACATATCAGCCAGTTATCATTGTCGGTATTTTAAATATTTCCTTTTTCCCCCTCAGAAATTTTTCGAAAAATTGAGCGAAATTTGGAAATCCTGTTTTTTTTCCGGTTCCAGGTTTTCCTTCATCATCTACTAAGGCAGCTGCTGAAGCGTAATCTGGGTGTATATGCTTTGGAAATTGCGGCAACATGTAATCGGCTGCCATATTTTGGTCATGTGCTTGAACTCCTGCTGCACAATGTACTTGAGGAGGAAGCAACTTCTTCGGAGCCAATACCAGGTTTAGATTTTTGGCTTTTTTAAATGAGTTTTTTTTTTATTTTTTTTAAAGTTTGCATTAAAATAGAGTTTATGAGTTGTGAAAAAAGTCTATTTCTCCTCTCATTTCTACTTCTCCTCCTTTAATAGAATATAGAAAAGGAAAGAAAAGGAAAGAAAAACAGCCCAGGGGACTAAACGAACCGTCATGAAGCCGACACGTGAATTGCTATTTCACGGCCATAAAAAGGCCGAAGAAGAAAGGAAATATGCCACTTGGAAGAGATTAAGCAAAACGGAGATTTAAGTGATATAAGGCCTAGAGAGGTAAAATTAGATGGAAGAAGGTAATAGAAAAAATAATTCAACTGTTAATGTGGTACAAACCTTTAGACACGTGAAGAGGTCATGTTCAAGAAGTATGTAGAATTGCTTGTCTGTGTTTCATCCCTGAGACTTTCTGACTCCGGCCGATCTGTATTTTGACCTTGGACCGTCCACTTG